CTTTGGATTTATCTATTGCATTTATTATTAATTATTTATTTACCATACCTGTTACACCCCCTTCTTGTTCCTCTTATTTATCTATATCACCGTTATGGGTTGCCTGGAAGAGATTGCTGTTTAATAATAAGAGCGCCTATAGTGTACGTTTTCACTGTCATGTTTAATATCTTGTATGTCCTGTGAGGTGTATGTCAATAAAGAATATTATTATTATTTCTTAATATTAAATAAAAATGAATACAAGGCTTCACAAAATCAATTATTAATTTAAAGGTCTATGTGTACGATTCTACAATAAAGTCCTAAAAATTCCACAAATTAAGCGTCAATAAATTAAAAACTACCATTAAAATAGTTATTCATAAAGCCTATTACGACACTTTATAATAGGCTTTCTATTATAAAGTGTCTGATTATATTTCAGACATAAATGCTTGGGTTTAAACTGTTCCAAACTTTCCGGCAGGCTTTTTCTATAATTATGATGAAGATGATGTGATTTTGTATTGACACGGAATATTGTTACATAATGATTTAACGCTGTGAAGTTTTTTTAGCCAGTTTTTCTCCACAGCTAAAAAAATGTCCTTAACTGGTGGTAGGGAAAAAAACATGGACGATTCAAAAGAGTTGTATTGTGCATCCAATTCGAATAAAGATATTTTGACTTTATCTAATTAAAAAGCAACTAAAGCTTTTACGCAGTTTTGAATCTAATTTTATTAACCATCTATTACGTGTGTTTTGTTTTAATATATTATTTTTGCTCAACCTAACATATATTTTTGGTCCATACCAATGAAACTTAAGTGGACCGATAGATATGTGTCCGGGAGTGTATTTTGGTTGGTATCTATTTTTCTTCATCATTCATTCTGATTACAAAAACGGAATGTTGTATTACTAAGCAGGTTTAAAAAATCCGATATCCTCTGTTTAACCAAATAACTGGTAAGCCAGTTAACCGCCTTGTTTATTTACGAACTCTCAAGAGATTACCGTCGCCGCAGCCCTGAGGCGCTCCGTGAGTCAGGCGCCTGCGCAGATATGGTGAAAACATGCGAGGACAATCGGCTCGTCGATGTTTTGATGAGTAATATAATTATAATGTAGCATCCGACCAGGCAATGACCATTTTGAGGCACTCCCAATTCTGATATTGCATGCCTGTTGTCTAGGAGGTTACCGAAATTATGAATCTAGTAGGCGATATTAGGGTGGCAATGCTTCTAACAAATAAAAATGTTACTAACAAAACAAAACTATGGACACTTTAGTCTGAAATATTTTTATTATTATTATAATGCGGTACCAAATGTTCCGGAACCCGCAGTGGTATTTGAAATTCGTAATTTTCGTAGGAATTTATAATTTCAAATGACATGCGGATTCCGTGGTGAACAATGTCCAATTTTTGTTCTTACAGAATAGCACGGCAGATGTTTGCAAATTAATTTAGCTCGCTTTTTATGTTTATTAATTAGGGTCCGAATTAGCACAATTTTCAGAACGCGGTACCACGGTAATAATATCATCCAGTATTCTATCTTCATACAAACGGTCGGAAAGCGAGTCATACCTACGCCACTCAAGTTCGATGTGCTCTCGGCGGGCACTCAGTCGCGAATGCGCGGCCGCGCCGCAACGACGACCGAACGGTCTGAATTGTTTTTTATGCAGTTAGCCGTGCTTAACGTGCATTTTGTATTGTAAATATTTGATTTAATTAAGTAGATACCTACATAATTTAGTATAGAAAAGAACAAACGACGATCAATATCGTACAACAGCACAATTGCTGTTTTTGGTTGCTTGAACTCTTCAATAAGATATCATTTTTTAAATTACCTGAAATATTGGAAAGGTGTCTTACCTTTATAGAATATTTTTTATATACCTATCTACTAGTACGTAATTTGTTTCTAATATTTAGGTATTTCGGTTTTTCCATCGGGCAAAATATCTGGAATAATATATAAATAAGTGGTTAGGATGAAAAAAGAGACACTCGCGTTAAAAACAAAACTACATAAAATACTGTAGGCGGGCGGCCCTGTCGCTGCCTGGGATGAATTTCTGGCCATCCTGGACAGCGACCCCTGGGGGAGGCCGTACCGGACGGTGAGGGGGAAGTTCGCTTCGGCGGAGTGCCTCTCGTCCCGCACGAGGGCCCTCCTGCGAAGACCGCAGAGGGTCATCGCGACCCGAGCCGTGCGGGCTTACCGCACGGTCAGCCACGGGGCTGCCTGCGTCCTAGCAGGCACGCTCCCGTGGGAGATTGATGCCCTGGTACTGTCCCAGGTGCATCAACACCGGGTCGCGGCGAGAGAGCGGGGCGAGCGACCCGTTCTAGAGGAGATAGAACGGGTCCGCACCGAGGCAGAGGGAGGCTCTGCGCCGATGGGTGGAGGCACTCGCCAACCCAGCCGCTGGCCACCGGACGATCGAGGCGATTCGTCCGGTGTTGGAGGAGTGAGTGGGTAGGGCGCCAGCGGGGCACCCTCACCTACCGCCTGGTGCAGGTACTGACCGGACATGGGTGCTTCGGTCACTACCTGCACCGAGTCGCCCGTCGGGAGGAGACGCCGCGGTGTCATCACTGCGCCTCTCCCGATGACACGGCCGAGCACACGTTGATCGTGTGCCCGGCCTGGCGAGATGAGCGCCGCGATCTGATCGCGGCGCTCGGCGTAGGAGGCCTCACGCTACCAAGTATGGTAAGAGCCATGCTTCTGCGAATCGGTGATGACGCAGAAGGAGGCAGCGGAGAGGGAGCGGGAGGAGGACGCTCTAGCCGCCCCTCTCCGGCGTAGACGGGTGGGCCGAAGAAGGCAGGCAGCGGTGACTGCCGGTCTTCGACGGCCCTAAGGTGGTCTGGGCGCGGCCTGACCAGCCGCGTGTCCTAGGTGCCGCTCCGGCATAGGCCACCACGTCTGGGGACTGCCTAGTACCCTAGCGCAGTCCCCCTGAGGCGCGTCGCCCGATCCACTCGTTGGGCCGGGCCTGCCCGGGGGCGTGCTCGGAGATGTGGCGCACGCAGGTGCGTCGGTCCCGAGACGCCCCCATATGGGCGTAGGAGGGTACCGGGGGGTTTTAGTGGAGTAGGATCAGTGTGGCCTTCCGCACTGGTCCTGCTTGAGTAGGGTCGGCACAGTTTCCCGTGCCAAGGCGGGCGGCCCTACCGCGTGCTAACGCAGCGCTCGGCCGTAGGCATTTATTTTCAAGGACAGGGCGGAGTCACAACACTGTATAGATAATATTACCGTGGCGGTACTTAAACAGATAATTATTAAGTACCTGACTTAGACAAAGCATCGAAACCCAAATCTATGAGTTCAACGAACTTTTGCGTGTTTGCTTTAAAAGATTACCTAGACAATTTATTGATTGGAATACAAAGTGTTATAAATTAAGTAGGTACCTTTATATAATTATTTTATTACGTATGCGCTTGTAAACTTTTAAATACTTAAGTATTTTCTTTTTCAACAGATCTAAATCATTCGCTCTCCAACAGCTCTACCTCACCTACATCTCGTTTTTATCAACCATTTATCAGTAACTTTTTAAGTAAGTTAAATTTAATCTCTGCTAAAATAAAACCCAGTTCGTGTTATCTTGTTTATATACCTTCAGGTTTGCTGTGACTTATCTTCTTACTCATTTAAAACTCTCATACAGCTAAAAACATGTTAAAAGAATTTACGGCTGTATACATAGCTTACATAAGCATAAAAATTCTTTATAGTAGACATACACGTACCTACAGACTACAGAGCTGCTTAATGACGAAATAGTCTGTTTGCAAATGACCGGTCATTCCTCACTACATAGTCTCGCTACTGCATTTTACTTTGATTAATCCATGGGCTCTCAATCTTTCAACTTTGACCCCACCGTATAAGCATTATTTGTAAAGATACCAATATTAGTTATTAACGTGCCTTCAAGTTAATGAAAATAAAAGAAATATGTATTAAATCTACGTATGTGTATGTATTAAACAAAATTGAAGTACATACTTACTTACCTTATTATTGTCGTGAAACCGTCACATGACTGTCGATATGTGATGTTAAGTTATTGAGTGAACAATTTAAATTTATATTTTAAACTACATAGTAATTAAATTCACAGAATAAAACTCCCAGACTTATAGAAGAATATCAAACTCGATTTATCCATAAGCGATTAATATAGGAACTACTAAACAAACAGAAATCTTATGTTTAATGTGTTTTTTAGAATTTATCAATATTCCGTGAAGAATATATTCTAAGTAGTTCTTTTGTAAGGCTTTAAGCACAATGTCTCGTCGGCACATAATATAAATAAATAAATATTTACAACACTCACACCTATTAGCCCAGCCACAAAGTATGCACTGTAAGGCTTGTGTTATGGGATACTAGGGTAATGGATAGAATACACATACTGTACATATATAAGTATATTTATATAGAAAATACATATTAACCATCCATGACTGGAGTACAAATGCTTGTGTTCACCCCACAAACATCTGCCACCACCGGGTTCGAACCCGGGACCTCTCGAGTCGGTGACACTATAAAACCCGGCGTACAAACCACTCGGCCACGGAGGTCGTCAAAACACTAATTTATAAATAAATTAATACTAATTTAAGTTAACTTTTTCACTACAAATAGCTAATTTTCCTTGGCGTCTGTTAATGATATGAAAAAGGATTATTTACCAAGACGGCATCGGTAGTGACTTCTGCACTGTCTGTCTACTAGGTAGGTTAATAATATAGGTAGTTTTAAATGTATTATTAAATATTATTTGCATATAAATTATTGGTACATCATTTATTAAATCATAGAATATATTAAAAACGCAACAGCAAACAAGGATAAAAACCTTATGTGAGGGCCACAGTTTCGACTTGTTGGGAATCACTGACCTTACTTACTCATTTCCTTGAGTCTGCTTGATAATGCAAAATGCCGCCCGCCAGTTTTATGAGTCAACGCGGGAAGGAAACACGCGCCCGTTCGTCTTTTACGAAGAAACATTTTTATTTTTTACTGTTTGTGATGAAAATTCTAGTTTGTGGCCAGTGAACAAATAACTATGTCGACACTTCTGAAAAACGTTACCAATTGCATTTGGCATGCTTTCGACTCGCTGCAGAATAATGCTGTTGTACACAAATCCAAGTTAAAGGTGCGTATCTATGTGTTAAGTGTTTTTTTATAACTTTATTTTATTGTTATGTTGTTTTTTTCTTATCTTGTCATAGTTTTAACTAATCTCATTCTATTAGGAGTACTTAAACATATATAAACATTATCATAAAAATGTAGCTGCCAAATGATATCGTTAAAACACGACTGAATAAATTTTCAATGCCACAGCAACAAAATAAACATTTTAATGTTGAAAAGAGAGAAAGGGTGAGTTTTTTTTTGTTTGGAACTTCAAGCCGCCCAATAAGTGAAATTTATTATGTTGACTTGTAGTTTTATAAAAATAAACAAAACCGTTTAAATAACATTCCACACTCTATGATGTTTCTTAGAAAAATATCAACTCGGATTGGACCCCTCGTCTTCCACTATCCGGGCGGACCCACTAACCAACTATGCTACCGAGAACTTAAAGGCCGCGTCGAATTTCCCCTTGTATTTCTTAGACTGCATGGCAACCTAGACCGAGTGGATTTTCGTAATAAAAATTTCTTTAGTTTCAAACATCTAGCAGTTAAATGCTTAAAATAAAAATATAATAGGCAATTATATACTTACTTATCTATAAACTGTAGCAGTGCCCAACAATTTAAGATATTGCTGAATGAGGAATATAATAAATACTTTTTAAAAATTAAAGAGACTTGTACCTTAAAACGAGAATAAAAGAAAAGAATGAGGAAAATCTCATATGTAATGGAAATTACAGTTATGTACGAACGACAATTCGAAATTTTATTAGGTTTTTAACTATGAAATTTCCGTTATTCATGAAAAAAGTTAAAACACTTTTTTCTATATTTTTTTAGTTTTATTAATCAAAGTACCTAATTATTAATTTTTTGCCAAAGTAGTGGTAGCTTATTGATTTTTGAAAAAGTCTGCTGGATGGAAGGCAACAAATTCTTCAAGGACATTTCGAACTGGCTCTCAGTTATTGAATCCAAATTCTGGAATAAGTAGAAGTCTGTAGGGGAAAAGGCTGGTGAGTGCGATGGATGACGGGGAACTTCAAACCCCAGCTCTTGTAACTTGGAGACAGTCTGCTGTGCAGTATGCCGTCATGCGTTGTCGTGCAAGAGCAGTGAAGCCAAACGCGTGACGAAAGCTGGTTGCAGATGTGCGAGCTTCTCCATCTTTGTGTTCAGTTCTACGCAATAAACATCTGCAGTAATGCTCATCCCGTTTTGTAAGAAGCTGTGACGAATGTGACCTGATTTTACTCCAAAATCACTTCATTTTACATACAAAAATCATACTCTAAAAATAACCAAACTATTATCCAGATTTTTTTTAAAGAAAACATTTCGCAATTTCATTGCCTTTTTAAATTGTTTAAGACATTTATAATTAAAAAAAAAACATTTTTTTATACAGTTCTATGTAAAAACTGCTAATTCATAAAGTATTCTAAAACTGTAGACGTAAAGCCTCCTGCGCCAAATTTCTAACGAAATATGTTAATAAAACAAGTTTTATCCAATCGCCGTTAGCAAACAATGTTATTGTGTTAGTAAACGTGAAAACCTGGCGCAGCGCAGGTGACAAAAAAGTACAAATTATATATGATGTGATTTCATTAACAGGTTAGAGAACAAAATGAATGTCGGCATTTATTATGGTACTTATGGAACAAAATAATGTTCTTCGTCAAGGGTATACGTTAGTTAGTAAGGTGGCGATTGTATTGACAGAAACTCTTTAACAGGTAACACACAATACCTACATTAAAAGATATTTATGCCCTCAAAATTTAAGCAAAGTAAAGCACATAATTTTAAAAAGTGTGCTTTACACCCTATTTATTTATTTACAGAGTGATTAAAAACTTCGACTTAAATCCCATTTAGCTTTAATTTAGTAAATGGTTGGGGTGTTAAAAACAATAAAATATTATGACGTTCTTTACGTTACATTTTCAATATGTCTAAAATCGTTATTAATGGCCATATTACCATGATAATTAGACAGAAAAAAAAATGAATAAAAACCAAAGTAAGGTGGTATTGATATCTCATTCTGGGCAAAATGTGCTTTAGTCAATTGAAATTACAGACACCTATTATAAAATTCCACGCGGATCAGGCAGCAGACGGGACTCGAATCCGCAGCCTTCGCTATCCGGGCATTATGCTACCGCGGCTCCGATGGCCGTGTCGAATTTTCTCCAGTATTTCTTAGGCTAATCCCATCCCACTTAGGTGATTCCTGTCTGCTGCCTGGTCCGCGTGGATTTTTTTTCTAGTTTAATTTTCTTTCAATTAATTGATACTTCACTAAGGTGTAAAATTCAGAGGTGGACTCTAACGTCACAGTATCCAATCAATATAAAGTTATAATGTTTGTTTTTTATATGTTACCCATTTTTAAGTAAACTCAAAACAAAGTTTATTCTCATAAATTCAAAGAATCAGAATAATACAAGGAAAACAAGGCCACGGTCCTTACTCGTTCACTTATTTTCAATAAAATGGAACCCACTTACATCCATATAAGGTTGGCATTGGCTCGTGCTTTGAATAGTATTCGAAGTCAACTTCATTTTACTACAGACATTGTTTACTGAGATTCTCGAAGTGTGTCACATTCATAGTCACGGTCACACTATAAACAAAGTCCAGCAATAATGGCATTACCTCCTTACTGACAGCTCTACTTGCAGTAAATTATACGCAAGCTAACAAAACAACATCAAAAACCTTCTTTTCTAAAACCCCAATACTACAAAATCTAGTTTAATAGGTACGTTATTTTTAATCTTTAACGATATAAATTTTTGTTTCAGCGAAAGTCTCAAATGAATATAATCAACATCATTTAAAGGTGTTGCTCTTTCAACGAAATATAAACTTACCTACTCAAACACAAAGATCCGTGAGACATTATAGAAATGTTTATTTTCTACGACAAATCTTCATACTATTTACGGAAATTCGATATTTTAAACTCTATAGTCGATAGCACCACCATAACTTAATGACAGATACAATACCAAAAATCATTGTCTAATTGAATTATTGCATCGCTATTGTAACCGAAAACCGACTCTGTGGAGCTTTATATACTTAATCAATCAATTATGTGCCATTGCTAGATCCGGATAAGGGATAACTTTATGGGTATACCTACACCCCGGCAATCTTCTTGCGCAAAGACTAAGGTCTTTGACAACTAAGCCTAGCAATTTTACATACAAAACATCTACTGCGCAAGTTAATTTGTCTCTAGTTTTGCTGAAGAAGTTTGCCTCTGCCTATAGTGCGTGCCATACTAAATAATAGAATTTTAAGTAAAGCAGGCTTTATAACTGACTTTTTTTTAAGTATAAAAACATACAGGTAATTGTTTTTATTACAGCTGTTAATTATTTCCTCACTAACCATTTTAAAACGCTATCCAAAATAAATATTTCTTCATGGATAGGGTATCTTGATATACAAAGCCATATTCGACGTGTCAGCCCTATTATCGTGAAGCACTTATCGCTGAATAGTTCTGTTGACCTATTTCGCCCTATGATGGAGCCATCAGGTCTAACAATGACGTCAACAACCCCATTTTCTAGCCTGCCGCGCCGTGACCCAAACTCAAGTTACAGTATTGTTTCAAATAGTTTTCTTGACTAGGTATTAAGTTACAGGTTCCATTGTTACTTTAGGTCATGGTTTAGTTAACACTTAAACCATGTCAATACAATTTTAGTATTCCTAGTCTTAATCTTAACAGATTAAAGTAGATGATTCGCACCCGTGAGACTTTGTGTGTGATTGTTGTCCTTTTCTTGATAGCAAAATGGCGATTACGTAAATAACATTCACGACAAACCGTGACTTTTCAGAAAAAATGATTTTACAGTTTTACGAATGAGAAGTGTTGCCGAGGTATTTGTGATGTGATTTTAAACTATTTGTGTTATTTATAAAAGCATCGAAGGCATTGTTTTATCTTTATAACACAGAATATACGCAATATTGTTATATTGAGTGTACAGCGTGTTTGAATGTCCAATTGTGACTACAGCGAATTGTGATCGTGCACCACAATTTATGCGGATCACTTTTAAGCCGCGAGTACCGTATCTTCCCTTTTTGTTTTAATCTAAGGAATTAACAGTATGTCAATTATAAGCAGGGTAACAGCGAGCTCTTTGTGGAGCACCGAACCTTATGGAACTGCTTAATAAATAAAGCTTAAAAGAGAGTCTTTCTTTAAAGAGAGTTAGGGCAAAGCGGATTTTCCTATCGAATTGGAGCGCTCGCCTGGGAAAGTGTAACCTCCTCCACCTACAGACTTTTTTTGGTAGTCTTGTATTTCTGTTGTGAGTCAGGTTCCTAGGCTTCACGGGGTAGGAGGTTCTGTTAGGGTAGGTAACGGTGCGACTGATAACTTTGGTTTCGCAAGCATCTACAGAATATGGTGTCTGTTTTCCATCAGGCGGGCCATTACGCTTGTTTCTACCCTATTAACATATATTAAACCTCACATCTGACCAACATTTTTGGTCCGGAACTTTCCGAAATTACTCAATTAGGGTAACTACATAATAACTTACTATCTTACATAAATTTCCTTTCACTGGTACAAATCTCTCTCTTTTATTTTCCGAAGTAGGATAAAAGTACTCGGTCCTATACCGCAGCGTGTATTGTCACAATCTCAACTTAAACTTTTCGATATCATAAGGCGATTCTTTGATTCCTAATTTTGGGAAGGTGTAAGTGGGTAGGTAGTACCTACGAACAGAGGCGAATGCATTCGGTTTACAGTAAATTGATATATTTGGAACAGAAGATGATGTTAAAGTTCGTGGCTTCCATAAGCAAATCACATATTAACCAATAACTTTACTAAGTTACGTAATCAAGCAAACATTGAAGCAGAGAAAAGTTCATCTGTCCCTTAAGTGTATTTAATAGGTACTTGCAATATTCAAATGAAATCATCCGTTCCAGACGTAGTCTAGCTATGTCCATCAAA